ACACACACACACACACACACACACACACACACACACACACACACACAAAAACAAACACACAAACACACAGCTTTGGCTCCCATCCAGACGTCACATGTCCGTTAACCCTTCGGCGCCCGGTGATGACATCACTCCTCCTTCCTTCTGGTCCTCCCACAGGAAGCCGCTCACTTCCTGGGGAAATAGCTTCCTCTTCCCGCTGGATGGGGGTAAGGGGGGGGAATGGGTGTGTGTGTGTGTGTGTGGGGTGGGGGTGGGCACATTGATGGGGACGCTAGCACTCATTGAATAATCCAGTAACATGAACATTAACCGAAGCCTCTCGGAGCCCTTCCTGCTTCCACCCGGCGCCGCCCCCCCCCCTCCTCCAAAGTCCGACTGGTCACATGACCGAGCAGCTTTTGGCTTTGTCCTTGCGCAGGTCGGAGCCGACCGGCGTCAGGTCGGGCCGACTGGGCATGTGCGAGATCCTCTTGTTGGCGCGGGCGGCTTTGCTGCGTTTGAGCTGCTTGCCGCTCTTGTTGATGCAGGCCAGCGTGGCCACGTGGAAAATGTCTCTCACGCTGTTCTCCGACTGCTGGGACGAGCACTCGATGTAGGGCGCCGAGATCTGCTTGGCCATGCTGGAGCCCTGGGGGGGGCAAAAGTACAGTTATCTCTGATTTATCTATTTATTTATTTATTTATTTACGTTGTTTATGGTCATTAACGTGACGTTAGCCTTGAATTGCTAGCTGTAGCTAATGGCTAATAATAACACGCCAACATTAATCAAGTCTGCAGGAAGCCAAGGATGGATATCCAACCCCCCCACATCCAAGTCGGCCATTTTGATAAGGTCACCAATAGGAAGATCGTAGGCAAGAAAATCCTAATTGCTTCATGGCAATATTGACATTAATTAAAAAATAGTGAAATGAATCTTGCAAACACTGAAATAAACTCTATACATAATATGTTAAAATAGTGGATGTTAAATAGGTTTGAACAATAATTCCAAACAGGTTTAACCAAAAAATATCTATTTCTCACAATTATGAAGGATGGAGGGTCAGGGTTAGGGTCATTAATGTGGGCCACCATAACATCAGTCACAGGTCAGTTTGAAACGAAAACCACTACCCTTGTGGTATTGAAAATGGATAAAATATTCTCCTGAGTATCGGTATTGATTCTGGCTGACAATGTTAGTATCGTGACCACCCTGGTGGGGGGTCACGGTGAGTAAAGAGCCACAGAGAGGCTTTGTTTACATGGGGGGGGTATGTGAGCGGTACCTGGTCGTAGGACACGGGCGTCTGTCGGTGGCTGGACAGCTCCACCAGCGTGCTCAGGTCGGTGCGCAGGTCAGACTTACAGCCCACCAGCAGCATCTTCGTGTTGGGGCAGAACTCCTGGATCTCCCCTTTCCACTGTGGAGGAACACCAGACGGGGTCAGATTAACCAGTCGAGGGATGTTACAAGCTTTTAGCATCAATAAACATCGAGTGACTCCATAAAGATTAGGGACGTCCCCATCCAGCTTTTTGTACTTCCGATCCAATACCGGCCTATCAGAGCATGTATTAAAGTTTAAAGTTATTTATCTACTTGCGTAGTTGTCAGACTCATGTTGAACAGGGATTTACTCTGATAACAACTTAATGGTTAGGACACAGACCTGTGGGTTAGAGATGCTAATGCTAATGCTAAAATGAGCTGAAAAATGAACAGATATCAGGGAACAACACAGCAAAGTGGAATGGATTATTTTAATCGGTGCGCCGGAAACCGGATATGACTTTAAAAAAATTAAAAAATGGATCTGGATAAGCATTTTCTCTTGCCGGATGATTTTTTTAGCAAATATCGGCGGCCGATTAGAGCCAAATATCAGATCGGGACCGGCCTAATCCGGTCACCTGCCCCGCGCCGGCCAAAGGTTGAGGCTGCCACTTCCTGGAGGCTTCAGACCTCA